ATGCCTCTCTGTCTAATGAGGAGGGAGAGAGAGCTCAGAGAGCCACTGCTCTCCTGAAAATCGCTGCATCATAATCAGGTTCAGATTAGTATTTGGGGGAATTGGGAGGAGCTACATGCTTTTTACTAGTAATGCACCAATATATCAGCTGCCGAAAATTATTGCTCGAAAATAGGATTATCAATGCTTTGCAGACAGAAAAAAAAAGGTGCTGATAATGGCCAAATAATTTACATAAATTTAATTTTATTTTCTGTCCAATTTTTGTGTGTTACTTTCAATAAAAGTTGTTTAATGGTACTGTATTTTTTTTTTACAATTCATATACAAATAAATTCATGATATTAATCAAAGAGTCACATAATAATACAATTAAATACAAAAAAATATACATAAAGAAAAAACTTTCAGTCCAGAATTTTTATTTCAGTGCACTACTTTTTACCTATAGAACCAGTTTAACCCTGCAGCAGAGAACACTATGTGCAACTGTCTCTTCTCAAATCCCCTGTTTATCAGAAAAATTAAACATAAAGGTGTGCTCAATTTGTTTGAAAAATATGCAGAAAAATGTATACCTTAACAAATTCTCCACATTAAGGTGAAAAACCTTCTGCCCCCCCCCCCTCCCCCTCCCCCACAGCCCTCTTAAATACTTTCCTGAGCTTGATCTCAATCCAATGCTGTGCCTGAGAGCAAAGGTTGTCCAGCAATCTCTCTCTCCTCACTGGACATGGAGGCAGCACTAGGAGCCATTTCCTCCTGCTGCTGTAAATTACAGCCTGGGAGGGGGGAAACCATGCTGCGTGTGTCTATGGCTTGTTTGGGGGGGCACTCCATGAGGGGGCAGGAACACTGGGGACCTCAGAAGAGGAGGATCTGGACAACTCTATGCAAAACCATTACACAGAGCAGGTAAGTATTGCATATTTGTTATCTAAAAAAAATCATATACATTCACTTTAATTTCACTTTAGGTCCCATTCACACTAGGGTCCATTCATGTGTTGCAGTTGTGCATTTCATCTGGCTTTATTTGTTTTCACTGCAGTGCACCAGAATGTACATTGTGTATTGAGGTGTGTTGTGTATGTGTGTACATCCAAAACACGTTCAACACCTTCAATGAAGGGTGTGCTATAGCACAGACTACAGCAGAGCACTAGGGGATTAATTTAGTAGTGCAGTCTACAGGCTATGCCAGGGGTCCTCAAACTATGGACCACAGGCTGGATACGGCCTGCTAAAGAAATGTATCTGGCCCACAGGGACAGCCGAAAAAGAACAAAAAAATCGGGAAAAAAATGGCAATGCATTACAGTGTACAGTGCATTGCCGTGTCCAGTGCATTACAGTGTACAGTGCATTGCCGTGTCCAGTGCGTTACAGCATCCAGTGCATTGCGGTGTCCAATGCGTTGCCGTGTCCAGTGTGTTACAGTGTCCAGTGTATTGCTGTGTCCAGTGCATGGCGGTGTCCAGTGCAGTAAAGTGTCCAGTGCATTACAGTGTACAGTGCATTGCGGTGTCCAGTTCGTTACAGTGTACAAAGCATTACTCTGTCCAGTGCATTACAGTGCACTCGACACAGTACAGTGCATGGTGGTGTCCAGTACATTACAGTGTACAGTGCATTGTGATGTCCAGTGCGTTAGTGTAAAGTGCAGTGCAATGTTCATTGCATTACAGTGTTCAGTGCATTTCAGTGTCCAGTGCATTACAGTGTACAGTGCATTTTGGTGTCCAGTGCATTACAGTGTACAGTGCATTGCAGTGTCCAGTGCGTTACAGAGTAAAGTGCATGTTGGTGTCCAGTGCGTTAGAGTGTACAGTGCATTGCAGTGTCAAGTGCATTACAGTATACAGTGCATTGTGGTGTCCAGTGCATTACAGAGTACAGCATATGGCGGTGTCCAGTGTTTTACAGTTTACAGTGCATGGTGGTGTCCAGTACATTACAGTGTACAGTGCATTGTGATGTTCAGTGCATTAGTGTAATGTGCATTGCACTGTCCATTGAATTACAGTGTACAGTGCATTACAGTGTACAGCGTGTTACAGAGTAAAGTGCATTTTGGTGTCCAGTGCATTACAGTGTACAGTGCATTGCAGTGTCAAGTGTGTTACAGTATACAGTGCAGTGCGGTGTCCAGTGCATTACAGAGTACAGCATATGGCGGTGTTCAGTGCGTTACAGTGTACAGTGCATGGCTGTGTCCAGTGTGTTACAGTGTACAGTGCATTGCAGTATCCAGTGCGTTAGTGTACAGTGCATTGAGCTGTCCAGTGAGCTACAGTGTCCAGTGCATTGCGGTGTACAGTGCATTACAGTGTCCAGTGCGTTACAGTGTACAGTGCATGGCAGTGTCCAGTGCAGTGTACAATGCATTGCGGTATACAGTGTGTTAGTGTACAGTGCATTGCGTTGTCCAGTGCATTACAGTGTACAATGCATTACACTGTCCAGTGCAGTACAGTGCATTGCGGTGTCTAGTGTGTTACAGTGTACAGTGCATTTTGGTGTCCAGTGCGTTACAGTGTCCAGTGTGTTAGTGTACAGTGCATTGCAGTGTCCACTGTGTTACAGTGTACAGTGCATTGCAGTGTCCAATGCGTTACAGTGTCCAGTGCATGATGGTGTCCAGTGCGTTACAGTGTACAGTGCATGGCGGTGTCCAGTGCAGTGTACAGTGCATTGTGGTGTCCAGTGCATTACACTGTCTAGTGTGTTACAGTGTACAATGCATTACAGTGTCCAGTGCGTAACAGTGTTCAGTGCATTGCAGTGTCCAATGCGTTACAGTGTACAGTGCACTGCGGTTTCCAGTGCATTACAGTGTACAGTGTATTTTTGGTGTCCAATGCATTACAGTGTGCAGTGCATTGCGGTGTCAAGTGCGGTAAAGTGTACAGTGCATTTTGGTGCCCAGTGCGTTACAGAGTACAGAGTATTGCAGAGTCCAGTGCATTAGTGTACAGTACATTGTGATATCCAGTGTGTTAGTGTACAGTACATTGCGGTGTCCAATGCATTACAGTGTACAGTGCTTTGCGGTTTCCAGTGCGTTAGTGTACAGTACATTGCGGTGTCCAGTGTGTTAGTGTCCAGTGCATTGCAGTCTCCAGTGCGTTAGTGTACAGTGTATTTTGGTGTCCAGTGTGGTACAGTGCATTTTAAATATTACATTGTTTTTTGTTGTTTTGCACTACAAATAAGATATGTGCGGTGTGCATAAGAATTTGTTCATATTTTTTTCAAACTATAGTCCGGCCCCCCAACAATGTGAAGGTCCATGAACTGGCCCCGTTTAAAAAGTTTGAGGACCCCTGGTCTATGCAGTCTATACTTCTTTTAATACAAGGAAGCATCTTGCTAGTTTTAGAGGCTCATCCTGTAGACTGAACCTTCACAGGCCCATTATTACCAGAGAAGAAATGCTACAAAGCAGAGTTTAAATGAAAACAAACATTGTAAAGTGGCCAAGAGAAACTCCAAATGTACAAGACCTTTTTTTATCAAGCTCATTAAACCCAATAAATGCTTTACTTTTTCAAACTCCTTGTTCCACATTTTATTCTGATCAGACAAGTTTCAGGTTTCCACTGTATTCTACGGTATATGTCTTTACTTTGTTAAAGAAAATAACAGGCAAGTATTTTCGAGGACTTTCTAACCTTGAAACAGGCTGATATGTGCAGACTTTAAAAGGCAATGAGTAGTATTTTGAATATATATATAGAACTTTTTTTGCTATATCCACTAATTTACTTTCAGTCAGGTAAATATGAAATCTTAGATTTCTATATTTCATATTTACCACTTGTAGCTATCATAGCATTAGAGACTCATATTCAATAGACTAATTCACTACTATGCTGTAACTTGTCTGTGATTAAAATATACCTCAAATGCATGACATTAAATTATAAGAACAAACCTGTTAACCCTATTATTATATTCACCTGTCAATTTGACTAGTTTAACTTTTTTACAGACCAACATTGTCAATAAATTTCTTTTTTTTCTATTTAAAATGATGTTACATAGTTACATAGTTAGTCTGGCTGAAAAAAGACAAAAGTCCATCCAGTTCAACCATTTAAAAAAAAAAAAATTATAATCCTATACCCACAATTGATCCAGAGGAAGGCAAAAAAAACCCAGCAAAGCATAATCCAAATTGCTGCTGCAGGGAAAAAAATCCCTTCCTGACCCCCCGAGAGGCAATCGGATATTCCCTGGATCAATTTTACCAATAAATGTTAGTATCCAGTTATATTCTGTGTATCTAAGAAAGAATCCAGGACTTTTTAACCACTAGCCTACAGGGCACTTATACCCCCTTCCTGCCAAGCCAATTTCCAGCTTTCAGTGCTGTCACACTTTTAATGACAATTGTGCGGTCATGCAACACTGTACCCATATGAAATTTTTATCATTTTTTTGTGACAGATAGAGGTTTATTTTAGTGGTATTTAATCAACTCTGGGTTTTTTATTTTTTCTTAAACAAATCAAAAACCACTTAAAATTGTGAAAAAAAAAAGTTTTTTCTTAGTTTTTGTTATAACATTTTGTAAATAAGTTATTTTTCTCCTTCACTGATGTGCGCTAATGAGGCTGCAGTGATGGGCACTGATAAGCTGCACTGATGGACACTGATAGGTGGCACGATGGGCACTAATGAGGAGGCACTGGTAGGTGGCACTGATGGGCATTGACAGGCATCACTGATGGGCACTGAAAGGCAGCACTCATATATGGCACTGATAGGCAACACTGACTGGCACTGTTAGGCTGCACTGATAGGCAGCACTTATGGGCACTGATAGGCGGCACTGATGCACGCTAATAGGCTGCACTGACTGGCACTGATAGGTGGCACTGATTGGCAGCACTGATAGGTGGCACTGACTGGCATTGATAGGTGGCACTGACTGGCACTGATGGGTGACACTGAAAAGCAGCTCAGATGGACACTGATATGTGGCATTGATGTGCACTGGTAGGCACTGAAATATGGCACTGATGTGGCACTGATATGTGGCATTGATGTGGCACTGATATGTGGCATTGATGTGGCACTGATGGGAACTGGCAGGTGGCATGGATGAGCACTGACAGCTGGCACTGATGGACACTGACAGGTGGCACTGCTGGGGCTACACAGATCATCAGGGTACACTGATTATCAGTGCTCTGATGATCTGTGTACATGTCCCCTCCGAGGAATGCTGAATACCGGCTCTGCTCTCCTCTCGAGCCGTCAGCGTGACAGCTCATGAGGAGAGAAATGCCAATAACCGGCATTTCCCTGTTTACATGTGATCAGCTGTGATTGCACACAGCTGATCACATGACGAGCTGACACCTTCAGCTCTTTCCATTGATTGGTGATCCGCTGTGTCCGAGGAACACAGCGCACCACCGATCGCCGCGCTGCACACTCCCGGAGCCGCGCATGTGCGGTTAGAATGGGAGGACATCATATGACGTCCTCCCAGAACGCGAGAACCGCCTTGCTCTCATCATTGTACTTTATGGTGGGTGGGAGGCGGTTAAAGCAATCCACTGAACTGGCCAGAACCAACTCTTGAGGGAGTCTATTCCACATTTTCACAGCTCTCACTGTAAAGAAACCTTTCTGTGTTTGGAGATTAAATTTCTTTTCCTCCAGATGTACAGAGTGCCCCCTTGTCCTCTGTGATGACCTCAGGGTGAATCGCTCTACACCGCGTTCACTATATGAACCACTGATGTATTTATACATGTTGATCATATCCCCCCTTAATCTCCTCTTCTCAAGAGAGAATAAATTCAGTTCCTCTAATCTTTCCTCATAGCTGATCTCCTCATGCCTCTTACCACTTTGGTTGCCCTTCTCTGTACTTTCTCTAGTTCCTCAATATTCTTTTTGTGAATTGGTGCCCCAAACTGAACTGCATATTCCAGATGATGTATTACTAATGATTTGTACAGGGGTAATATGATATCTCTCTCTCTGGAGTCTATACCTCTTTTAACTGCTTCCATACAGGGCACTTTTACCCCCTTCCTGCCCAGGCCATTTTTCAGGTTTCAGCTCTCTCACACTTTGAATGACAATTGCACTGTCATACAACACTGTACCCAAACTAAAATTTTTTCTTTGTTTCTGATATAAAAGTTTGCAAATAAATAATTGTTGTTCATAAATTTAGGCCAAGATGTATTCTGCTGCATTTCTATGGTGAAAATGACCCAAATTAGGATGTATTATTTAGTTTGTAGGAAAGTTATAGAGTTCACAAACTATGGGATATATCTTAAAATTGATCAGTCATGAACTACTGACTGCCAATCTAATTTCTTGAGGTCCAAGAATGTCAGAACAGTACAGATATCCCCCAAATGACCACTTTTTGCAAAGTAGACAGTTCGACATATCTCATAAGAGGCATGGCGAGTTTTTTGACGTAATTTTTTTGTCATAATTTTTCGGAAATGAAAAAATTAAAACAATTATTTTCACTATTTTTTTGTTTACATACTGTCACCAGTGCAGTACAGCGTCATCATATAACTGGCATGGCGGTGATCAGGGACACTGACTGGTGACAGTACAAAACTTTTTTTATAATTTTTGTTTTTTAAATTTAAATTTTTTTATTAGTTTTAATTTTTATTAATTTTTTTTCTCTTTTTTAAAGATTTTTTTTTCATATTTCACTATGACCAAAGTAGTATAATGTTACCATAGTACCATTGTACTACTTTGGGGAAGTGATCAGTATTTTATTTTTATTTATTTATTCTTTTTACACAATTTTCTTATAACAAAGAATTACTTTGCTATATGAAAGCATTTACCTGAATTACATCGATTACATTCAGGGTTTTTTTTTTTGTGCTTAGCTGTGATTCGGCCACAGTTAATCACATGACACAGATGGGCTGTGATTGGCCCAGCTTGTGCATGTGATCGCTGTGACCATTCACATCTAGACACACTAGTATACAATGGATGGCATGAAAGGAAGCCATCCATTGTATACAACTGTCATGTGACCTGCTGTGATTGGTCACACAGGTCACATGGTACTGGCAATGGGGCAAGTACACAGATCTATCATCGGCCGTGTCTGAGGTACACAGCCGGTGACAGATCGTGCCGCAGAGCGGCCCTGCGGGCAGGCGCACTACGCATGCCTGAAAGGACGCCATATGGCATCCACCCGGAGGGATGAGCTGGTTAATACAAGAGAGGATTTTGCTCACTTTAGAAACTGCAGCTTGGCATTGCATGACATTATTAAGCTTGTGATCTACCAGAACTCCCAGATCCTTCTCGACCATTGATTCCCCCAGTTGTACTTCCCCCTCCTTCATTTTTATATTTAATAAAAGCAATTTTCTTATTATCTATAGCTTTTTTAACTTTGGCCATAAGCCACATAGGTTTGATTTTTAACCTTTTAAACTTGTTGACCATGGGAATATAGTTTGCAGAGTGTTCACATACAGTCTTTTTGAAGAACTCCCATTTTTTGTGATGTGTTCATTGATGCCAATATTCCCTCCAAGTCTAAGTCTTGGAGAGCAGCTCTTAGCCTTGGAAAATTAGCTATCTTAAAATTGAGCATTTTTATTTTTCCCGTATATGCTTGCTGTTTACAGCGAACAATAAATTAAATCATGTTATGGTCACTGCTACCCAGATGTTCTTTATATGGACATTTGTAATAAGCTCTGCATGGTTTCAGATTACCAGGTCTAGCAGAGCATCATTCCTAGTTGGGGCCTCTATGAACTGTACCATAAAATTGTCCTGTAGTAGGTTGTGACTTTTCCTCACTTGGGGTCACATATTTATATATTTAGTCTGGGTGGATGTTGTTTGAATTGCCTCAGCAATACAAAGATGATGTTAAAGAGTAAATCCACTTTTGCTGAGAAGAACACATTCCTCTCTAAGTGATCAATCAACACTGCAAGGATTTTAATAAACTTTGTTGCACATTTCTACCTTTTGTTATTCTGAAGAAATGACTGTTTGTGAGTCTGCATCCAGAGATTGAAAAGGTCATTTTTAATAGCATTCAATTACCGTAAGACTTGTGTCACAATTATACATACTATATTATTTATTTTATTTGCTATATTTTTTTTCTCACGGAAGTAGAGTTACACTTTAACCACTTCAAGTCCAGATACTTTACACCCCTTCCAGTCCAGGCCAATTTTCATCTTTCAGTGCTATCACATTTTGAATGACAATTGAGCGGTCATGCAACACTGTACCCATATGAAATTTTTAGCATTCCTGCAGCCATTAAGAAATACTGTGCGAGCTGTGATTGGTCACAGCTTGTCACATGGTACAAGGCTGTTGTGAATAGCCTTGTACCATGTGATCTCTGTGATCATTGACAGATTTCACAAGTAGTAAGCAATGATGTCAGGACATGACATCTTGTTTCCTACTGTTCATGTGATCACTGATTGGCCAATCGGTGATCACATGAATCGGGACCTCACACAGTGGCCCAGTACAGCAATCTGAGGACACAGGGGTACCTATCACGGTGCCGTGCACTCCTGGGGAGTGCGCACAGGCAATGGATGTGGGGGGACGTTTAGAAATGTGCATTGGCAGCGTTCTCATCCGGCCCATGTCAATAAACAGGTTAAGGGTCAAATTGATCTGCAAAAGGGAAACCCATTCCAATCACAAGACTGTTAAAGGTGTCAAATCAATATATGAGATCTATTTAGGGGAAATTAAAATAGCTTTGTGTTTCAAATGTCTTAAAAAACATACACAAATGGTTGGTTGTTAACCACTTGCCCTCCAAAGGATTTACCCCCCTTCCTGACCAGGCCATTTTTTGCGATACAGCACTGAGATACTTTAACTGATAAATGCACGGTCATGCAACGCTGCACCCAAGTTAAATTTATGTCCTTTTTTCCCACAAATTGAGCTTTCTTTCAGTGAGTATTTGATCACCTCTGTATTTTTTATTTTTTGTGCTATAAACAAAAAAGTCCAACAATTTTGAAAAAAATATATATTTTTGACTTTTTGCTATAAAACATATCCAGTAAAAAAATGTTTACAAGCAAATTTCGTCATAAATTTAGGCCAAAATGTATTCTGCTACGTTTTTGCTAAAAAAGATCCTAATACGTGAATATTAATTGGTTTACTTGAAAGTTGTAGCATCTACAAATGGCGATATATACACTTGAATTTTTTCTATTTAATATATACTATAATGTGGGTGTCAGGAATGGACTTGCCAATAGTGGTGGGACTCACCTGCCTTTTGGGCTGCAGTACCAGGGCTGGCCAGCGGGTGCTCTCAACAACCAGAGGTTCAATTTGGCAATTAGCCATCACCTGGGGCTGATTGCAGGTGGTGTATTTAAGGGATGGCCAGACCTGCAGTCTGGGCCTTGGTGTGTGTTTTTCCATGGGCCCCTGTATCTTGTAACCTGCATTCCTGTTCCTGTTCCTGTTTCTGCCTGACTTGTTGCCGACCCTGCCTGATCCTGACCTCTGCTGACTTCTCCTGTTTTTATCCTTGGCTTGTGACCCTGACCATTCTCTCCGCCTGCTCCTCCTGTACCTACCTGCCCGATAGTTATCGACCCGGCCTGCCTGACTACGTTGTGCTCTATATGTGTATGTACCTGGGTATCTATATCAGTTTAGGTTTGGGTTTGTTTCACCTTGTTGTATGTATTTGTGTTAGCTTGGGGTTTGGTGCACTGCGTTTATATTTGTATTGTTAGTCTTAATAAATTGTCTTATTTATACCATATCTGAAGCCTGTGTTTCCCTGTGTCAGTACACACACCTCTGGTCATACCCCGGAGCCCTGACAGTGGGCATTCCAACGGGGGGGGGGGGGGGGGGACTGACTAACTGTCACTGACATCTCCAATGACACTAATACAGTGATCAGTTCTAATAAAAAGCACTGACACTGCACTAATGACACTGGGCAGGAAGGGGTTAACATCTGGGGCAATAAAAGGGTTAACTGTGTGCTGTGTGTGTTTTACTGTGTGCTGTGTTTTCCTGTGTAAGCACGCTGAATAGTATTGCTCTGCAGAGCATTAAAAAGCAGCGTGCTGGAGCTGACAGGGGAGAGATCTGTATTGTTTACATACAGACCTCTGCCCCTTCAGTGTTTCCCGGGTGCTGGAGGGGAATCTCTGTCCGAGACCCTGTGATCAACAGCTGTAGCCACGAAAGGTGTGCCCCCTACCCGGAAACACAAAATCACATATATACTGTACATGGGATTTTGCTCAGCCCTGCCACCCTGCAGCAGTAGTTCTGCTACAGGGCGGTCAGGAAGCTGTTAATATACAAAAAATATAACAAATGAATCATACCAATGATGTACATCCCATACAACTACCCTTT